GTGCTAAGAAAACATCATGGCAAACATTAGTTACTGCTACAAAAACCTTTATCTACTCTGTTTGTAATAACATTTCAACAAGTTTTCAGTATGACAAATGTCTGTCCCTACAGTTAGCCTGAACTGAACGTTATACTGGAGAAGAGCAGAGGTGGAAATGGAAAAGTGGAAACTGTTTTTCTCAGTGAGAACATACAGTTGTCAGTTCACCTTCTTAAACGGAAATTTTGAAGGCTAATTTGAAATTAACCAGTATCTGCTTCTTGATAGACAGACCCGGTAATCTAAGTAATGATTCTTACTAGCCTGATGTTCTGCAAAGGGGGTAATTTTTGTTGGCTGCTGCTGAGAATCCAAATTAGAACTCAGACTGGAGAAAAAAAAATGTGGAGATATTTACATAATGGACCTTTAAAACATCATGACTTCCCAGACATACAGGCAAATAGAACAAATACAACACGTCTCATGGCTGAAGTTTTTGGTCCAACTACCTCAGCTCTTGGAGGGGCAGGGTCTCCATTGTGGACTTCTGGAGGAGCTGATCAAAACTAACCATATATGCCACCATGATATACAGGCACAATGAGCTGAAAGTACTGATAGCAACTGACCTTCTCAACAAGTTTCTTTGAAATGCAAACAAGAAGCTAGACTGCTTGGGGAGACTGAGCCTCTTCAGGTTAATGAAAAGTAAATTATCTTTCATCTTCATTTTTTTCCCCATGCAATTACAGCAAAAGAGTATTGCATTGCTTGTTTGTAATACTATGTGGGAGTTTAGCTGCGTTTAATAGCACTAGCTACTTCAGAGCTTAAATATCTGAAACTGATCATAAATCGTTCTATCTTCTCTAATCTCTAGTAAGCATGACTTACTCCACTAAGGTCTACATTAAAGCTTACATGATGCAGTTTTCATGAAATACACTAAATTGCTCTATGCAGAGTCCAAGACCTCATCAAATAACATAATCAATCAAGCTGCTTGTCAGATACAACCAACTTCATTGTATCCTACATAATTGTCTTTTTAGAAGACAAATGAACCATCAGCGTAAGAGTACGTAATACACGAGTAATGGGTAAGGGGCCTAAACACTGTGCAAGAGCCTGTGGTGGTGTGAAGAAACTTTGTGGCTTATTTCCCAACGAGAAACATTTCCGATGAGTTATTCGGACTGTCCTGACTAGTGTTTTGGAATTACAAAGTTTGGAAGAATTTTAAAAAGCTGTCCGCAGTCACTGGCGTCAAAAGCTTCTGACAAGTTAAGAAAACATAAAAGCGGGCAGCTGTTTGGCTTCAGCACCACTGTGCTTTTATAAAGGAAGAACTCCATTGCTATAGAACTCCACTCTTCTTTGCAGGACAGGGGAAAGCAACAAACCTTTTTTTTTTTTTTTAAACATCTCTCTCTGATACTTAAAAGGCAACAAGAGATGCACAGCATCCATTCTTGTCTGGTCTCCTTTTTTTGAGATAGCACCTACTGACTTGATACCATCAAAACATTACACATTGCAGTGAGACTGAGCTGACAGCAATTTGTGTGGCCAAACGAGGGCACATCATTTTCTAACAAAGACAACCACAATGCTTTACTCTTATTATGCTGTAAAGAGGCTCCAAAAAAGGCAAACCTAATACATACCTCATGAAGCTGAAGTCAAATATGGATACATACTGCATAACACAACAGCTTTAACGTACATAAAAAATGGCAACATACAACCTGGACACTATTTCTACTTCATAAGAGAAAGCTCATTACCAAGCTTTAAGCATTAACAGATGGTCCTGAATTGATGTAAAGTAATTAATTTTGCTAAGTTCACTGTTTAAAAGCCATTACCTGTATTTTAAATCTGTAAGAAGCACTACAGAGAATCACTTCAAAGCTTGTGTTTGCAGGTAAAACTCACTTGATACTTTAAGTACTTTTTTGCAACCATGTAGCAATTCAACCATATGGAATATAAATAATTTTCTACACAAGTTTCATAAAAATCTATATAACAGTGTCTTATCTTCACTATAAAACAAAATCTTGTTGAATTATTCTTTTAAAAATTATGCACATTTAGAGATCCTGCATGTGGCAATTTAATCTGCTATAATGACTGGTGAGTATGCATTCCCGGGTATGCCTTTTTAGCATAATCCATTTGGTTTTATTTAGAAGACTTGTGAAAAAAAAACCCTTAAGATATTATATGTAGTACAAGTTTGAATAGGAGCCTAAAGGGGGTTCCTGTAAATTTGATTTGTAGCATCCATGGGCAGACTCACAACCAGTTTTAGCAAACGTGAAGAAATTCAGGTATCATTACCACAGCAGCAGCAGCAACACCTTCAGAAACTCTTTGTGACTGGTGTAAAAACAGAATAAACAACAGCCCATTAAAAGCACTGGTGAGTTTAAATATTTTTATTTAAATAGTCAAAATAATTATTTGCTAAGATATATCTAACCAAAGTCGCACAGATTTTTTTTTTAAAAGTACAGACATCTAAGTAACATGAGTGCCACCTTCTGGTTAAGGCATGAAAAACTTTGGGTTGTGCATATGTCATTCAAAACTTCTAGCTGAAAAGTGTTTATTTTTATTTTTATTTTTTTTAGAAAAATAATTAGAATGTCCATCTCCAACATACACACAACATTGTAAAACAAAAATAATTAAAAGCAAGAATTCAAGAGCTGCTTATCTCTAGTGCCCAGAGTGAAATAAGCTGTACAAATATTTTGTCCCAGAAGTTAACTTCAAGGATCTCAGGTCCTAATAAAATAGCTGAATGAACATCATTTTAAATAAATAAATTTAAATGCAGTGCAGGGGCTTGTAATACAAGAAGCAGTCCTAGAATTAAACCATTCTGAAGTATCGTTTAAATTTTGCAGAGGTTAAAAAAAAAAAAAAAAGGCTCCTTTTGTTTCATTTCACACAACCCCCCAAAAAGTAGAACGTTACTATCACTTCAGACGGTCATTTGATAACAGCTACCAAAGCCGTTTCAAAGCAACACCAATTCAAGAAGCATATTTGCTGCAAATCATGTGCTGTACATACTGCAGATATAAATAAAACTGCAGCTTTTTTGTGCTTACAGGAATAAAAACAATTTACCAACAGCTTTGGTTTTGGGTCTCTTATTTTTGCCTCACATCGAATATGTGCTGGAGGGACTACGGTCCACATCCCAGCTGATATCATACTGCATCAAAACTGTAATTACATATAGCCTCGTGTCTTACAGACTTTTAAATTTTATTTCCCAGCATTTCTGCTCTCAGTGCCATTTCACACTTGTATATGCCCACATAGAGCCTGCTTCTTTACAGACTAAAAAAATGACTGCTAGATAAGAGCTCTAATTTTTCTGTAGGACAGCTCCACATGCTTTTTCTATGTACTGATCTGCAGTTGATTTGGATCATATCCCTTGAGTCTTCTGGAATACACATTATAATTTCTTAAACTATATACCCTTTTTGAACGAAACCTACTCATGCCTTGATGTCAGCAACTTCTCTTCCAAAGGATGAGGACAGCCAGTTATTGCACTCATATCTCACAGCAGCAAGCACTTCCAGGAGGAGTGCCATGTCTCTTTCAAAAGTTGACATCCTCATAATTTCTTATTCTAAAGCAGCAATAGTTCATGATGTGTTCATCAGCACTTAATCAATTCCTTGTTTGCCAAAGGTTCTGCAATGACTTCACCACGCAAGAACTGCTCCTAAAGACAGCAAATTTTAGGAGATAAAGAGTTTTAGCTATTTTTTATTACATTTGGATCTCCTCTCCCTCAAAAAACATCTGATAACCATTTTGCTTTTTAGGCTAGGGTGTAAGTGGTAGGAAACTAACTGTCTCCCAAAATATGAAAGCCATAAAACACTTACTAGATAAGAACTACTAGGCTAGATCACAGGGCTACTAAGACTCAAGAAAAACAAAAATACATCTTACTATGACAGAAACTCTTTTACCTGCATTTCATCCCAAACCCACTAAAGCAGGCATGTTTTAAGGCCCGAGCACTGCAGGGATAAGATGACACTAGGAAGCAGCACATGAGATAGGAGCTGCAGCCATGAAAGAAGGTGCCACTGGCTTCCTGACACCCCTGCCCCGTGTTTACCAGCGCGTTTCAAAAGCTGCCACAGCGCTCTCCTCGCGGGAGGATGGGGGGGGGGGGGGGGGGCGG